ACATGTACCACATTCATGTATCAGTACAGTAGGCTGAATCTAGTTCAGTGTCTTGACCACCTCTGCATACTGACCAGTTTGTTACAGTCCCTTGGATGGTACTGTTGTATTTTGTTAAAGTGGTCTCTCCTAGTAGATTGTGTCCTCTCTGGGAAAGGAACAGTGTCTGGTACACAGAATAAAGAAATATGAGTAGGTTGGTAAGACTGCAATGAGTTCAAAGTATTAGAGAATACATTATGAGTTCCAGACAATCCACTAAGATTTTCCATTTCCCAATACTTTTTTTTTCTTTCTTTCTTTCTTTCTTTTTTTTTTTTTTTTTTGAGACAGTCTTTGTTGCTCTTGCTAGAGTACTATGGTATCTTAGCTTACAGCCACCTCAAACTCCTGGGCTTAAGCAATCCTCTTGCCTTAGCATCCCAAGGGGCTGGGACAATAGGCATCCACTCTAACACTTAGCTAATTTTAGAGATGGGGTCTTGCTCTTGCTCAGGCTGGGCTGGAACTCATGAGCTCAGGCAGTCTACCTATCTCGGCTTCCTAGAGTGCTAGATTACAGGCTGAGCCACGGTGCCAGGCCCCAATTTTTCTTCATCTGCTACTAAATCTCTCATTTGACTTTGCATTTTACATGTTATTTTTCAGATAAATTGAAAAGGAGACTCATTTTTCAGATTGTGTTATAATTAGATATATGTTATGATTTTAGGAGGCCATTAATATCTTATTTTTCTAAAATACTTAGTATAGGCTCAGCGCCTATAGCCCAACCGGCTAGGGTGCCAGCCACGTACACCTAGGGTGGCGAGGTTCGAATCCCCAGCCCTGACCCGCCAAACAACAATGACGGCTGCAACCAAAAAATAGCTGGGCGTTGTGGCGGGTGCCTGTGGTCCCAGCTACTTGGGAGGCGGAGGCAAGAGACTTGCTTGAGCCCAGGAGTTGGAGGTTGCTGTGAGCTGTGATGCCACGGCACTCTACCCAGGGGGACAGCTTGAGGCTCTGTCTCAAAATAAAATAAAATAAAATACTTAGTATATCCAAGGGTATATATTTTTTTCTTTGTCGCACATTTGAAGAATGAGAGTTGTCTTGAGCCACACATTAAATACACAAACACTAACAAAAGCTGATTAGCAGCCAGTCACAGTGGCTCATACCTGTAATCCTAGCATTTGGGGAGGCTGAGATGGGCATATTGCTTGAGCTAAGGAGTTCAAGACCAGCCTGAGCAAAAGCGAGACCCTAAATATAATCAGGTGTTGTGGCATGTGCCTGTAGTCCCAGCATCTTGGGAGGCTTGAGACTAGGGAATTGCTTGAGCCCAGGAGTTTGAGGTTGCTGTGAGCTATGAAAGCACAGCATTCCACCAAGGGCAACATAGTGAGACTCTGTCTCAAAAAAAAAAGAAAGAAAGAAAGAAAAAGAACAAAAGCTGATTAGCAAGAAGAAAAGGTACATGTGTATTTTTTTGTGATAACCTGATACCACAGATACACAAAAAAAGTCCTCACAAAATCAGCATATTTGATTTGACTTGTTGGTCACAGGTTGGACAATCCTAGTATACATTCTAAAATAAAAAATTTCAATAGTTTACAATTTTAAGAAGTTACATGTAAATTTCTGCTGGTTTCTCATACATTTTAAATAATTGCTGGAAATACGCCAAATTTTCTGGCTTTAATTTCAGATGCACGTATTTAAGTTGTCAGCCTTCCTAAGATAGGTGTTAACAGTGGTGTGGTAGCTTATGCCAATAATCCCAGCACTTTGGGAGGCTGAAGTGGGAGGATTGCTTAAGGGAAGGAGTTTGAGATCAGTCTCAGGATACCATCTCTAGAAAAAAACAAAAAACAAAAAATATTAGCTATGTGTGGTGGTTGTGTGCCTGTAGACTAAGGTAACCAGACATCCAGCTTTTGGCGGGACAGTCCCGATTTTTAACAATTTGTCCTGTGTCCTGCAGTGTTTTTAAAAAGTCCCAATCTTTGGAAAGAATGCACAACAAGCTAGGGAATGGCAGGAGAAAGGGAAGGGAATATTCGGCTGCTGAAAAGGTTAATGTAACTCCATTTGGGAATGAAGAGGTTAATGTAACTTCATTTGGAAATGAAAAGGCTATTCTAAACTCCCTACTCCTCTCCTGTGCAAATTCGCCCAGGTGGAATCAGTATCAGAAGGAGACTGGCTTCCTCCCTCCCTCCCTCCCTTCTAGGCAAGGACAATTAGCTCAGAAGGAGCCAAACTGTCTGGAACAAACGAGTAGCCCCCTCTAGAGGGTCACTAACCATAAACAGCTCAGCCAATAGCAGCCCCGCCAGATAAAACAACCGATGAAATTCCTCTATGTGCTTTAAAAACCTCAACTCACTTCACTAGGGGGTCACCTTTCCTCCAGCCACTCTGAAGGGAAGAGTGGCCCAGGCATATGCTTACAAAATAAAGCACTTTTTGTCTTTACATGTGTGTGGTGGTCTTTCAGTGGCAATGTGGTCCCAACACTGCCACGTGTCTGTTTTGCCAGGATATGAGTTTTATATTATTTTTGTTAATTTTATAATGTTAAACTTTAATAATAACAAATAATTGTTGAGAACTGATTATCGAGAATTGCTTATCAAAGTTCGCATTGTTGATCAGTTGTTAGAATTCGACCATCATTGTTTGGACTTAATGAACAATGGCATTTTTTGGCATTGGCAACCACAAAAACATTTTGTAACTATCTCTTAGACGATACACATCGTACTGCGTGCTAGTGCTAGTTAAACAAGTGATGTCAACAAATCAGCTATTCAGATAATTTAGGTAATTTATTTATTTCATGAATTTAGCAGACAGTACTCGTACTATTTATATTTTATAAATGTCTAGCTCCAGCCTTGAAAGTGACACTTATGACTTACAAGGTATCATTCTTTAAAAAATATATTGATAAGGAAAAGGTTAACTCTTGGGCATCAGCAAAAATCACAATAGAGAACAAATGGTTAGAAATATTTCATCATTTTGAAACAAACTATGTTCCATACAATAATGCACTAAAAATTGTGGGATATGCGCTGTCCTTACCAGGAACTAATGCTGTGACTGAATGTGTTTTTTCTATGGTAAATAAAGTGTGGACATCAGAAAAATCACAATTAAGTGTTGAGACTTTGAAAGTCGTTTTATGTCTGAAATATAATTTAACAAATTCATGTGAAAAATTTCATGACTTTTTAAACGACAGCAATCTACTAAAAAAAAAATCACTCAAATGAGAAATATGCCAAAGAATAAAATAATACTATACCTAATTTTTTTTTGGCCAAGGCTGGGTTTGAACCTGCCACCTTGGGCATATGAAGTCCAGGAGTTTGAGTTTGCTTTGAGCTACGAAGCCAGGGCACTCTACTAAGGGTGACAAAGTGAGACTCTTTGTTTTGAAAAAAAAAAAAAAGATACATTTTACATAACTACAGTAGCAGTATCTCAACAGATACTGTCTAATATTTTGTTATGTTTGCTGTAACTATCCAAGTTAAGATTTCTGTAGTTATCCTCAAATTGGCTTTTTAAAATTTGTTTACTTATAGCCAAGCATTGTGGTGGGCGCCTGTAGTCCCAGCTACCAGGGAGGCTGAGGCAAGAGAATTGCTTAAGCCTAAGAGTTGGCGGTTGCTGAGAGCTGTGATGCCATGGCCCTGTGACAGGTGACACAGTAAAGACTCTGTCTCCAAAAAAAAAAATTTTTTTTTGTTTGCTTGAACCAGGGGCCTTTTGGTTGACTTTTTCTCTCTCTCTCTTTTTTTTTATTGAATGGTATCTATGTACAGTAATGCACTTCTGGGGTACAGTGTGGGGTTTTCACACACAATCCGAAACACTTCCATCAAACTGGTTAACATAGCCTTCATGTCATTTTCTTAGTTATTATTTTAAAACGTTCACATTCTACTCATAGAAAGATTCACTTGTACCCTTGTAAGATAAACCTCAGAAATGATCCCTCCAATCCCCCTCCCTCCACCCATTCCCGCCTTCCCTCTCCCTCCCCCCCCCATATTCTTAGGCTGTTATTTGGTTATAGCTTTCATATAAAAGTTATAAATTAGTTTCATAATAGGGGTGTGTACATTGGATACTTTTTCTTCCATTCTTGTGATACTTTGCTAAGAAGAACATTTTCCAGCTCCATCCATGTGAACATGAAGGACGTAAAGTCTTCCATCTTTCTTTATGGCTGCATAGTATTCCATGGTGTACATATACCACAGTTTGTTGATCCATTCTTGGATCGATGGGCACTTGGATGGTTGACTCTTAAGATCCTTTCAGTCTAGAACAGTTCTTCTACAATCTTTTTTCCTCACCTTAGTTGAATTTGAAAAAACTAAGACATTAGCTCTGTAGGCTGGAATATTACAACTTCTGCTACTTTGTGGCATCCATTATCCTGTTAATCTAATCTCTAAATTTTCTTTAAATTGCATGTTAGATCTAAAGCTTGTCTAGATTCAGGTTAAATTTCCTACTCCCCCCCCCAAAAAATAAACTTCATTGATGATGCTGGATCTTAATTTTGTGTTGTAAAATCTAGTTGTTTCACTATAAATGATGGTAAAGTTGATCACAGTTCAGGTTCTGGAGTTGTTTGCTTGCTTATTTATAAAGTAGTATCCACAGGAAAGGGATAAAAGCCTAAAAGAAAGTGGTATACGAAAACACATACTAACAAATACTTATTAAACACTTTCTACTGAGTGATTTGAGGACTTACAACAAGCACTCCACAACCGCAAGCATTAGAGTTATGAAAGCATTTTCATAAAAACTTCATGTTATTCTAATTAACATGCATTTGTGGAGTGCTTGTTGTAAGTCCTCAAATCACTCAGTAGAAAGTGTTTAATAAGTATTTGTTTAGTATGTGTTTTCGTAAACCGCTTTCCTTTTGACTTTTATCCCTTTCCTGTGGAAAAATAAAACAGTTACTCTTTTTTTAATTATAGGGTTTTCGCTACTAATGTTACAAACAATAAAATATTGGACCATAGAATTGACGACAAGACTTAAACCAGGTAGGTAGATAACAAAAGTCTAAAGAAATAATAAAACTATCATTTATGGTATCAATAATGTCCTTTAAAAATATGGTAGAACCTTTGTAAATTGACCATTCAAGGAACTGTAACAAACTGGTCAACATACAGAGATGGTCAACATAAGGAACTCGGCCTGCTGGACTGATACATATATGTGGTGCATGTTTGGTCTATGAAGGTTAGGTCAACTTAAGGAGATGGTCAACTATTCTACTGAAGTTCTACTGCAGTTTAGCTGAGTAATCTTACTTTCTCTCCTATAAAAAGATTTATGTATAAGGATATTAGAATGATTTACAATTGAGAAATTGGTAAGAAGCTATTGTCTACCAATATGAGACCAATTAAATAAATATAATTAAATACTGTGCAAGCATTTATGTTATGTAAACACATTTATTGACACAATGTGTATAATACATTTTCAAGTGTAAAGCAGTCTACTAAACAAGTGTGAATAGGATTAACCTGTTTTTGTTTTTCAAAAAGTTGCATGTACATAGTACATGAATGTGTATATGTATTTGATTAATATATATGGTATTTAGTTAGATGTAATCTGTATGTATACAGATTACGAGTGTACATTGACATTTGGAAAGATGACAACCATGTATTGCCAGTGACTATTCATAGTTTATAAAGTGATTTTTATACTTTCTGTATTATCTCTTAAAAAAGAGTGTGTATTGCTTTTTTTATCAAATTTTTGTAAGATAATACCTCCTCCTAAGGTTATGTGTTTCTACTTTATACCTATCCAGCAACTTCTGGTATACAATATATATTAAAGATAGTGCTATATTCACTTATACTCTCTACTAGACTGAAGAAAGTTTATGAGGCTAAATTCATAGATTCTGGACTTTTTGGTCAACTGCTTTCAATTTATTACATGGTCAGAGTCTGCTTCCAACTCTCTTAGCCGAGTGAGCAGATATGATGCTTATCACACAGCTTAGCTAAAGTACATTACCATTTTTGGAATATCAGAGGGCATATTCTAATTTTATATTTTGCTTTTCTTTAACAGATATTTTTTTCAGTTAGTTAAAAATATGGATCCTGAAAAGGGACCACAGATTATCAAAGTGACACCTCTTCAACAAATGCTTTCTTCTTGTACTGGAGCTATACTGACATCACTAATAGGTAAAATTATGTTGCACACATAAATCATATAATTGTGATTGAATCAGTGATTGCATTTGAGTTTTATTATCAGTGAAATGATGACATGGTGATAATACCATTTATTGTTCATGATTGTTAATATTCTTTTCATTAGCATGGTAATATGAAAAGAACCCTGGACAGAGATTCAAGCAATTTTAGTTCTTGCTTTGCCCTTCTCAAAATGAAAACATTTAGGGACAGTACTTAACTTCTCTGAACTTAATTTTTTCATCTGTAAAATTGTGAGCTTTCAGGAGTTCTTTGAGGTTTTTATCATCATTAACTTTTTTTTTTTTTTTTTTTTTTTGAGACGGAGCCTCAAGCTATCCCCCTGGGTAGAGTGCCGTGGCTTCACTGCTCACAGCAACCTCCAACTCCTGGGCTCAAGCGAGTCTCCTGCCTCAGCCTCCCAAGTAGCTGGGACTACAGGCACCCGCCACAACGCCTGGCCATTTTTTGGTTGCAGCCATCATTGTTGTTTGGCGGGCCCGGGCTGGGGATTCGAACCCGCCACCTTAGGTGTATGTGGCTGGCGCCTTAGCCGCTTGAGCCACAGGCGCCGAGCCATCATCATTAACTTTTATGACTATTTTCCTTTTTTATAATACAAAGCAAGGGGGTGATAAAAACTTAGTATGATGAATTATACATAATTTGAACAATTTATAGTAGCAACAAATACAAATAATATTTTCTACTTTGCATTAACAGCAAATTTCTTGAATTTTCCTGGATCACATTTTTCATCTTATAGTAAATTTGTTATACACATAGCTAAATGTCATAGGTGACAGTTTAGCATTTTAATGATTTTAGGTTGGCCAATTTTTTCCCTTTTTTTACTTTTTAAAAAATACTTTCTTTTTATTAATTTCAAAATGTTAAGGTGGTACAAATATTTTTGTTACCTGGATACCTTTTGTAATGCTTGAGTCAGCAGGGCTGTTACTGTGCTTGTCACATGAATAGTGTTGGTTGTACCCCATAGGTAACTTTTTGCCCTTCATTTGTTCCCCCAAAATCTTGCTTGATTTCCAATGACTTTTACTTCTTTTTGTGCACATGTGTGCCCATTAGTTACTTCTAGTTTATTGAAGAGTATATGTGGTATTTATTTTTCCATTCTTGAGATACTTCACTTAGGATAATGGTCCCCAATTCCATCCAAATTGCTGCAAAAAGACATTAATTTTTTTTTATGGCTGAGTAATTCTCCATAGTGTACGTATACCACATTTTGTTAATCCACTCATGAATTGATGGGCATTTGGGTTGATTGCACATCTTTGCAGTTGTAAATTGCACTGCAGTAAACATGAATGTGCGTGTCTTTTTTCCTTAATTTCAGAGTATTAGAGGGATACACATGTTTTGGTTACATAGTTGTTGTGTATATTTCAGGTCAAAGTTGTAAGTGTGCCCTTCACCCAGAGTGAGTGCATTATATCTGTTAGATGTGAATTAACAGAAACCCTCTGTGCCCCGACTTTTTTTATTCCTGTTGAGTTTTCCTTCCCTATGTGCACATAACTCTTGATCAGCTAGTTCCAATTTAGTATTGAGTACATGTGGTGTTTGTTTTTCCTTCCTTGCAGTGCTTCACTTAGAAGAATGGTCTCTACCTCTGTGCAGGTTGTTACAAAAGATACTAGATTACCATTTGTTTTAGTGGCCGAGTAGTACTCCATGATAAACAACTACCAAATTTTATAAATTCACTCATGTAATGATGGGCATTTAAGTTGTTTCTACATCCTAGCAATTGTGACTTCTACTACTGTAAACAACATTTGAGTACAAGTGTCTTTATGGTGAAATGTCCTTTTTCCTTTGAGTAAATACCTAGTAGTGGAATCGCCAGATCTAATGGTAGTTCTACTTTTAGTTCTTTCAGATATCTCCATATTATGTTCCATAAAAGTTGTATTAGTTTACAGTCCCACCAGAGTGTTCCTTTCTCTCCACATCCACACGAGCACTTCTTGTTTTGGGTCTTTTTGATCAGAGCCGTTCTCACTGGAGTTAGGCGATAATGTCATTGTGGTTTTGATTTGTGTTCCTTAATCATTAGAGATGTTGAGCATTTTCTCGTGTGTTTGTTGGCCATTAGACAGTCTTCCTTTGAAAAGTTTCTGTTCATGTCTCTTGCCCACTTTTTAATGGGATTGTTTGGTTTTTAAAACCAGGTGCTTTGCTTGAGTTTTTTGTAGATTTTGGTTATCAGCCCTTTATCAGATATATAACATACACATATTTTCTCCTATTCTGTGGGTTGTCTACTCACTGTATTGGCTATGTTGTTGGTTGTGTAGAAACTTTTTTTAAAATTTCAGATTAATATGAAGGTACATACAATTAGGTTACATTGTTTGCTTGTGTTTGTAAGATAAAGTCCTAGTTGTAGTTGAGTCCTCCACCCTGGAAGTGTGCCATATATCTGTGCTTTGTATCCATTGGGTAGAAACTTACTGAACCACCTCACCACCTCCTTCATCTTAAATTTAATTGAGTTTTTCTCTCATATGGGCCTGTAGTTGTTAATCTGCTAGTTTCAATTTTATATTGAGTACATGAGATACTTGTTTTTTTATTTTTTTCTATTTTTGTGATACTTTACATAAGAGAATATTCTTCAGTTCTTCCAGGTTGTTACAAAAGTTATAATATCTTTATCTTTTTATGGCTGAGTAGTACTCCACAGTATATACATACCATAGGTTATTAATTCATTCATGGGTTGATGGGCGCTTGAGTTGTTTCCACATCTTTGTGATTGTGAATTGGGCTGATATAAACCTGTGATGATTTTGTCTCTTTTTGGTAGATACCAAGTAATGAGATTGCAGGATCAAATGGTAGGTCTCCTTTTAGTACTTTGAGGAGTCTCCATACTTCTTTTCATAATGGCTGTACTTATTGGCAGTCCCCCCAACAGTGCATGAGTATTCCCTCTTTTCTCTAGCCAATAGCATCTGCTGTTTGTGGGCCATTGTCAGTGGGGTGAGGTGATATCTAAAAGTGATTCTGATTTGCATTTCTCTGATGATTAGGGATGATGAGCATTTCTTCACGAGTTTGTTGGCCATTCGTCTGTTCTTGTGAGAAAAGATTCAGTTTATATCTCTTGCACAATTTTTAATGGGTTCATTTGCTCTTTTTTTTGTTGATCTGCTCGAGTTCTTTGTGGATACTGGTTTTTAGCCCTTTGTCAGATTCTTAGCATAGAAACATCTTCTCCCATTCTGAAGGTTGTCCACTTGGCTTTGTTGATTGCAGCCCTAGCTCTCTACAAACTTTTTAACTTGATTGTGTCCCATTTGTTTATTTTTGTTCTTGCTGCAATTGCCAATGGGATCTTCTTCATAAATTTAATTCCTAGGCTGATAAGATACAGACTTTTTGCCCATACTTTCTTCTAGAGTTTTTATTATTTTGTGTCTTAGATGTTGTGAGTGAATTTTTGTGAGTGGTGAGCAGTGCAGGTCTGGTTTTAGTCTTTTATGTGTGGCTAATGAGTTCTCCCAACATAATTTGTTAGAGATTCTTTTCTGAAGTGCATTCTTCAGTTTGCTTTATTGAAGGTCAGATGGTGATATAAGGTTGGTTTTATCTCTAGTTTCTATTCCATAAATCCATGTCTCTAGTTTTATGTTATGCCTATGCTGTTTTGATTACTCTAGACTTATAGTATAACCTGAAGTCTAGTGACATGATGCCTCCTCCAGTTTTAATCTTATTTTGTAGAATTGTTTTGGCTATTTGGGCTTTTTCTGGTTCCATACAAAACATAGAACTATTTTTTTCAAGATTTTCAAAGTATGATGTTGGTATTTTAGTGGGGATTGCATTAAATCTGTAGATTGCTTTGGGTAGTATAGATATTTTAACAATGTTGATTCTTTCCATCCATGAGCATCGTATATTCTTTCATTTGTTAACAATCCTTTACAATTTCTTTTCTCAGGGTTTCATAGTTCTCTCTGTAGATATCCTTCACATCCTTTGTTAGTTATATTCCAGGGTGTTTCACTTTCTTTGATACGACTGTGAAGGTTATTGTGTCTTTGATTTGATTCTAAGCTTGCCTTTTGTTAGCATACGTGAAGGCTACTGATTTGTGCACCTTGATTTTATATCCTGAGATACTACTGTATTTCTCGATCACTTCCAGGAGTCTCATGGTTCAGTCCTTGGGATTTTCCAAATAGAAGGTCATATTATCAGCAAAAAGCAATAGTTTGACCTTCTCTATCCCCATTTGGATACCCTTGATATCCTTTTCTTACCTGACTGCAACGGCTAGGACTTCCAGCCATGCAATGAATAGTACACTGGTGATAGCAGACATCCCTGTCTGGGTCTGGTACTAAGTGAAAATACTTTCAGTTATTCTCCATTCAATATGATATTGGCTGTGGGTTTGTTGTAGATGGCTTCTATTGGTTTAAGAAATGTGCCATCTATGCCTATTTTCTTGAGTGTTTTTCTCAAAAAAGGATGCTGAATTTTGTCAAATGCTTTTTCTGTGTCTATTGAGAGGATCATGTGGTCTTTGTTTTTACTGTGTTGTATTTTAAATTATGTTCATGGATTTATATGTTTTGAAATAGCCGTACATCCCTGGGATGAAGCCCACCTGGTTATGATGAATTATTTTATTGATGTGTGACTGAATTGTGTTTGTCAAGATTTTGTTGAGTTTTTTTTTTTTTTTTGAGACAGAGCCTCAAGCTGTCCCCCTGGGTAGAGTGCCATGGCATCACAGCTCACAGCAACCTCCAACTCCTGGGCTCAAGCGAGTCTCCTGCCTCCACCTCCCAAGTAGCTGGGACCACAGGCGCCCGCCACAACGCCCGGCTATTTTTTGGTTGCAGCCGTCATTGTTGTTTGGCGGGTCGGGCTGGGGATTCGAACCCGCCACCTTAGGTGTACGTGGCTGGCGCCTTAGCCGGTTGAGCTATAGGCGCCGAGCCTTG